ATTCTAAGGCTTTGTCTGCATTTATACTTATTTATGCGATGTTATCACACCGTAAATGAATTTGGTAGGAGAGGCACTTCATATTTCTAAGCCAAGAAAGTATTCTGTTGTCAAAGAGAAGTACCTTTTGTACGTTTGTTCTCTGAGAGTGTGATTTGGAGTAACAGTAAAATGTGATTCAGAGTTGATGTCCTTTATGACCACGAGAAGTTTCAGTTTCTAACATGAAAATTTGGGAAATCATTTGCTCCTAAAGCTTTGCCAGCCATTATTGTTAATGCAAGAATGAGTTTGTTTGTAATGGTTGCTTCATGCTATGAGTTTGGAGTAGTCAATTATGTGTACGATGCTTTATAAAAGATAAATTTATATATGTATGCATGAGCATCATGGGACCGATGAAGGGTAGATAGGAGATGATTGGGGATCGAGGGACTTGAGCAAACAAACTCATTTAGAAGAGGTAACAGAATGCATAAATCGGGGACTAGGAAACTGACTTCAGAAACTACAGCAACGTTAAGTAATAGAGAATAGTTGGTTTCATAAATTGAAATGTCTTCTAATTCTGCTTAATGAACTATGATAGAGTCAACAACATGTAATTTTGCTTCAGTTATAACAACATTGGCACTCCAGTTGACAAATCTATATATAATTGTTTTTTAGTTCCAACTAATTTTTATTAAATATTTTTTATGAGCATGTGTGGACTGAAGAAACACGCACACACTTGGATTTCAATACAAATCAATCCAAATATCAAAGGTAATATAAACATAGCAGCAAGGTATGGTTCATCAAGTTAGCTTGACATAGATCATTGGTTGTTAGTTTTTTCCTCTGCACATTGTTTCTTTTTCTTGAATTATTGCCTCTAACATCGTCTCCACTGTCTCTATCCTTTACTTAAAATTGTATTTTATTCAAACTGTCGTGCTGCATATTTTTCTTGAAATATTGCGTCCAGCATGGTCTCTATAGCCTCTATCCATTGCACAATTTGTGGAATCCAGCCAAAAAAATCATGTACCACAAACAAGCAAAATAATAATAATATAATAATAAAAAAAAAACAGCATGTGAATGGCGGTGATGCCATCACCGAAAACAAAGAAAAAAATAATAAAAAAGAAGGTATATTTGGTTCAGGTTTTATGTAACATGTTCAGTCTAAATAGGGGCATTCAGTACCAAGGAAGATGCACCAAGCGAGAGAGAAAAAGAAACTGAAAGAAAAAAGAGAGAAGAAATAACATCTTGTGAGTGTTATTTTTCAGTGAGATAAAAATAAAGTGTTTCAGTAAATCTTGTGAGTGTGGAAAAATATACCGGGTTGGGTATCAACTCTATTACTCTTTGTTTAGGAGTGGGGTTCTCACTGGATCACTATATTTTACATTTCTAGTGTAAAGGAGTGTGAAAAGATATTGTAATTATCTTGAAAATATAGTGGAATTATTCGGAGGTTGTCCCGTGGTTTTTTCCTCTATTTG